TAACAACTAACCGTAGGGTTGAAGCTGTGCGTTGTTAGAGTGATACTGGCTGACAGTTAACAAATCATACATAGAATGAGATAGAGGACAGTTACTTACATTCCATTGGCCTTCTTCGTTAAAGTATCCTCAATCTCATCCTGTATATCCGGTCTCCTTTGCCACCTTTCCGGACCTTCAGATCCTCTCACTCTCATGTGAATATACTTGCGTATGTCTTCTTCCACCAAATCACTTTGTATGGAAATGGTTTGTTTCTGCTCATGGTCCCATTTCGCCAATGTTGACTTGATGTCTTGCTCCTGGCGGCTCGTTATAAGAAAATGAATGTTCGTCTTCTGGGATTGCAGGTTTTCCACCCATGACAGTAGGAGCTCGATCTGAGAGGGTTCTTGACATTCGTCCAGGGCATCTAGGATGATCCAGACCTCCCCTACTTGCTCAACCATATCTTGAAAGACTTTTTGTAGCGCTTCGATGCTTGGTTGCTGTCGGCCATTTCCACAAGATGTATAGAGTGAGTTCATTGACTCTCTAGAGGCTCCGAAATTCATGTAGAGCTGACTGCTTAATACGCGGATTACACTTTCTACTGACTGCGTGTTCGTGTTGGTGAAAGAGAAATAAAAGTACAACGGTTTGTTTTCGGAGAGGCGCTCAATAATACTGGTGCTTAAAATTGTTTTGCCGCATCCGGGATTGCCGTGGAGCCAGAGAAAAGATCCAGGTTTGGTTTTCCATAATTGAAAAGAATCGCTCTCAAGAAACCAACGGCCCGTATCGGGGTGCCGTAGCCGTAACGCTTCTCTGTAATTTGTAAGAGCGTCTACAGGATGCAACCATTCCCAGATATGCTCTTCTACTCGTTTGATGTCTAGTTATTGTTAGAGTTGCATCCGAGTACACACTAGAGGGTGATTGTGATGATTTCCGAGAATAAAAAGATTATACTAACCAGAATGGAGGGACGTGATAGCTTCAACAGCGTTCCTGGTCTTGACAACTCGGGTGGCAGATATTACTTCAAGGAGTTCCCGTGCGTATGCAGCTGCTGTCATGGCAGCATACTTTTGCCATCGGTCGTTCTTATGAGAGTCGCAGTAGTCGCAGATTCCTCGAATGATCAAACAGGGGAAGTTAGCCATAAGACCACCGGCTTCCATCTCGAAGCAAATGCACTCAGCACCTGTTCTCTTTTTCAGTGCCGCGACCAACTTGTCTCTGTGACTTGCATCTTTTACGAGACCGTTTCCAGATGCGATTAACCCGTAGTGTACTACCGGTTTCGAGAATCCCCTCGCTTTTCTTGCCACAAGGTGTTCGGCGCCTGACTCATGGCACTCTGTGCAATCTTCCCCACCGAGATGGTCGAATGTGGACTCGAAGAAAGTGTCGTTGTCTTCCTGTTGGTATGAAAAGCCTGGATCAAATTCGGACATTCGGCTTTGCAAATTCTCAACAATGTCCGGGAGTTTTGAGTCTCCTGTCATGTAGTCTGCCTTCAGTTTCGCTATTGCTTCGAGTAGGACAACTGGAGGCTTTGCATGATATCCGATGCACTCGAGATCATCGACTCTTTGTTCTGTAAGGTCGTACTGGACCACACCACCGTGCCTTCCCCCAGGGTTGCTCACAGCAATATCCCCAAGCCGGATGTCTGGGCCCTTCCCAGAGCTTGGAATGCCACCACCAATACCAATCAGAAGGCCAAAGCGGATTGAAGGGAAGGACCTTATCATGGATGTAACGACCATGGCGGCCGAGGCAAAACCGTAGAGCCCAGACTGAGAGGCCGCAACAACAACATTATGTTTCCCAATTCGACCCCAGAAGTATTTGTTATCGTCAGCGGAGATTTGTTCGAAGTCCGATGGCTCATCTTGCTCTTCGTCCAGAATAGCTTGAACTGCTGCTAGTTCAAAACCAAGAAAAGTGATTAGGCCGATCGTATACGCGTCTGCCATCAAAGCCGGACTCAGAGGACGGTTTGTTTGGTTGTTTGATGCCATGGGTCGGATCGTGGATTGCTCATAGTACGCATCCTCGTTGGTCGGAACATCAGCTGTTTCGTTGAAAGCGGATGTCTAGGTCCCTTTTGACATGGTTTTTACTGGAAATATGCGAGTTTTTTGAGGATTCAAATTTTGCAGAACTTGTGGTAGCAAAGAATAGGCAACACGTGTGTCCAGGAAGGCTTGAGGCAAGTGACAGGACTAAGTTGAGCAGCTGGCTGTATTTAGTTTTGCGTCCGTAGCATGATACATCAAACTAGCCACATATCCTCGCAGGGCTTCTTCGATTGTCTCACCTACAGCCTGCATAGCTGAATCCCGGTTCCTTAGTTTATTGGATATGTGCTGAAATTATGGCGGCTTACTAGCATGGCCCCACGGCTACAAGCGCGGTTAAATCAGGTTTTATCCGTGGAGGTGCAGATAGCAGCTGCAACTACCCCGCAGTTGATTGGCTCAGCCTTGCTTTCTTCCCGCCTCAGTGAAACGTTCAGCCGCACGCAGGTCGCTGCCTACTGATGTCCGAAGTTTGCCTCGTATATGCCTTCCCATACATGGTCACCGGTCAATGGATCGCACGCGTCCACGTCGAAAAGCCACAGGATAGCATAACAGTGTTGAGACAAAGCTGCTGCACTCTGCTCCGTATCTGGATTGCGGGGTCAGCCTCGCTTCACCCGCTGTCTTGTGTAACCTCGAAATCCCCTCAAACCGGTCAGCTGTCTAGAGTCTCTGATCCGTTAGTTCTGTTTCCGTAGGCCTGTCTGACTGCACCGGGAGATATTTTTCACATAAGGCATGGGTATAATCCCGTTCGTATACCCTTAATGGCACCACTGACACTCTATTGCACTACACAGTTGTCATTTGTTACCCAGAACAGCTACCTGCTACACCATAATGCCCGAGTCCGACGAGAGCAAAGATAGGCTCTGCAACCTTTGCGAAAATTTGAACATCCATTCGCTTTTGCAGCAATCTGGATACAAACACCATTCGTCGCGAAATGCGCTCAACGAGAGTGCAATGCACTGTCCAATGTGCAAGCTGATCCTTGAGGCTATTCCCGTACCCGAGGGGGACGAACCGTTCACCCTGACCCTCAAATGGTTCAAGGAGATTCCATTCGTCCTTCATATTTCCGATTCAACAAGATACTACTACCTAGGTGTCTACACTCCAGAACGTAAGCATAAACCTTAGTAACCTTTATTTAAATGGCGATAATCTAATTAATTGATAGAGAATGCTATCTCTTCGCATGGTGTCCGAGTTCGGCTTAATCAAGAGCCGAGCATCTGGACTTCAAAATCGCATATGATTGCTTCTACATGGATCAAGCAATGCATTGATCTTCACCACTGTGGACGGCAGATCTACGACACTTTGCCAGAAACCGGAAGCGCTTCGGAATCCGTGATACCGCAAATCTTGCCAGCGCGACTCATTGGCCTTTTTCAAAAAGGAGATGACGAAACGTCATGGGACATGAGGTTAGTTCCGGTCGAAGAATACGTTCCCTATGTTGCTTTAAGCTACTGTTGGGGGCACGTTGGACAGCCAGAATACATCACAACCACCGAAAATCTGCAGTCTCGATACTCTAATATAGAACTCCCGGAGGAGCCCCCGCAAACTTTGATAGACGCGATATATATGGTAATTACCCTCGACATGCCAGATATTGTAGGGTTCCTAGCCGAAAAGGGAGTCCGGTACCTCTGGATCGACGCTATATGCATAGTCCAGGATGACCCAGTCGACTGGCAACGGGAAGCAGCGAAGATGGGAGCGATCTACAGCAACGCAAGCTTTACCATTGCAGTTGACAACAGTGACTCAGTGCATGGAGGAGTCTTGGTACCAACCACGTCTCGCTCACTGGGAGTAGACGATCCCATTGAGATCACTACAACGCTTCAGGATGGACAGCGATACACGCTCTGCTTCTATAAGCTACTCTCTGTTCTTCCAGGGACACTATGGTCTCCACCGACCCTTGATGCATCAACACTGTCAAAAAGAGCGTGGTGTTTTCAAGAGCGAATCCTTTCACCACGGATCCTTCACTGCACCGCCGAGGGGCTTATCTGGGAATGCAGAGAGGAATACCGATTTGAAAACAACGTGGCATCCACCCTCACCGACTTGAACAATGTCACTCTCGCAGGTACTATTCGTATTCTTCGAGAGGGCCTTCCGAAGAAACTCTGGGGACTCAAAGTCGGAGAAGCAAAAGACCCATTACTACATCCCGAATATACGAGAAATACAAGTTACGGTAACATGCCCGACCAACTCAACGCCGTTATGGTACTTCGAGGAGGCGCCCGCTCTGCAACCGCAGGGTCATTTGGCGAACGACGAACTGGAGAGCAATGGGAAATTGTTTCTTGGTGGAACAAGAACATTGTCACTCCATATTCTGCCAGGCACCTCACACGCTTTACCGACAGACTCCCCGCTCTTGCTGGTGTCGCACGAATGTTTGCCGAACACATCAACTCACCGTACATTGCGGGGATCTGGCTAGCCGAAATCGAAGATAACCTGGACTGGAGACGAGCGGGAGTGCCTTTCCACAACGAACCGCTTCCCTTTCCATCTTTCTCTTGGATTGCGCATCCTGGTCCTGTGGAGTGGCCATGCATAGGCCATATGCGGCCTTATGGCAAGTCGTTCGAGCTTGAAGTACATGCCGAAAAGTGTGAAGGCATTGATGAGTTTGACAAAATAAAGTCTGCACACCTGGAGCTTACAGGGTTTGCGGACAAAGGATTTTGTCGCTTCCAAAGCCCTCCGAAAGGATCTCCGGAGTATATACACGGTGAATTGCTTGACAAAGACGGAACTGCGGTTGGAGAAGTCGAGATGGATCTTCAAACCTATGATGAAATTTGGTGTTTCTGCATGTATGAGAACTCTATCGGCTTTTTGAGAGTCTTGCTTTTAGTTGAAGTTGGGGAAGAGGATGCGAACTGTGTGTCGCGGGTTGGTGTGGGCCAGATTCATCCGGCACACGCGGAGAAGTGGCTGGCGGAAAGCACGTTTGTCAAGGTAGACCTTTTGTAGACAAATCATTAAAACAGTTGCGTTCGAAGATAGTTCCGCTACCGTAAAATAATAAGTACTCATTTATTTGCTCGCCATATAGGTAGTCTTTCTCAAGAGTAATACTTCTAAAGAAACTGGGCTTTTCCATTTTCCAGATAGCTAAAATATATCTTGTCGCAACTTGCAAGGTCGTGGCAAGGACAGATAGTAATGCATCACGGTTGTGCTGCTAGCCAATCAAAACCCAAATCGTATTAACAAAGCTGTTAGAGTTGGTGGCTGTGCATGATGCAGCCACGTATTAATCACTTGCATTCAGTGGCAGGTGACTGAGGTTACATGGGAGAGATAACAAGTTAGCTTTTACTATTGCCTCCTCAATGAAATGATGTTGTACTGCAGCCTGCAGCAGGGATGTCGTTTCAGCTATGCGGCCTTCGTCAGCTTTCATCCGATCTTCGGACTCAGCTGCTCAAGGAAAAACCAGCATCCCCTGCTCTTTTAACAACATTATCAACCACTTCCACATTTTCCCCTCCACTAGCCTCCGGCTGCTTGCGCTTATCACAATATACGCGAAAGCTATCTTGCCTCCCGTCGACATGTCACAGCCAAATCAACTTTCATCGTCGAGCTCCTCCGATGGTACGACGAAGCTTCAGTATGCGCTGGACGCATTCAGGGCCACTTTGACCGACGACCAAAAAAAAAGAGCTAGAGGCTTCAAATATCACACCCGATGCCGCCGCCGTGATGAGATTTACTACAGCTCTCGATCACAAAAATGCAGAGCGACGAAGCCGCTGCGTTGCTATGCGCGTGCACACTGTCTTGGAGTCGGTTCAACGATTTTCGACAGTCGTCGAAACTTTTGTTTCGTCAAACCCCAAGATAGCAGCGCTGATATGGGGAAGTGTCAAGATGGCCCTCCTTGTATGCGTACCTACATTCAAAACTTAAGACCATTGCTGACATCATGGTAAGATTGCTTCAGATTATTCATCTTACTTTGAGAATCTCTCGAGGCTGTTCATGGGGGTCGGCAGGCACTGTCCACGTTACTCCGAATACCAAACCTTTTACCCACAATCGAAAAAACTACAGAATAGCCTCTGCAGCTTTTATGCAGCCTTGGTACTTTGTTGCTCAAAGGCAGTGCAAGTGATCCAAAGATCCGGTAAGTGACATATAGTTGATTTGCATCTCGAATAAAACTAGGCTCACTATACTAGGCTGGGGCCATCTCGTCAAGACTATGATAAGCTCATTTGAGACCGATTTTGGCTCTTTCGAACATGACATTTGCTACTGGAGCAAAGAGGTAAAAGACGAAACTCGCCTTGCATCCCAAAAAGCTGCACATCAAGAACGTAATCTTCAAGACGAAGAACGTAGAGAAGCAAGCACATATAGGCTACATGGAATACGTTTTCGGAAAGAAAGACGAGATTGGGAACAAGCGCTGGAAAGACACAGATTAAGTAAGTCCTGACCATTAAAGTAGCGATCAATTGACTGAATCATGGAGTAGTCGAACGGAAGCAAAAACTTTTGGATACGCTCTCAGACTTTGATTACGTTCGGCCTTTCAAACGTGCACGCAAACAATGTATCGGTGGAACAGCACAATGGCTAACGAAAACGAATGAATTCAATAAATGGACAACAGAGACACCTTCTTCCCTATTGTGGTTTTACGGAAAACGTGAGCACTCTGTCCACTCTTGCATCATTTATTTGCTAATACTGATACTATAGTTGGATCTGGTAAAACTGTTATTGTGTTAGTAAATCACTTTTCTAATACCACGTTCTAAATGGCTCTAATAATTCTAGGGCCAATACCATCTCCGAAATCGCTCAAAAACATAGAAATATAGCTTACTTCCTTTGCCAATTCGACAATGATAAGTCCCTGAAAGCGGATAATATCATCAATTCTCTGGTCCGACAAATCCTCGAGCCGAAAAATTTGACAGGCGACATTGAGTCTCGTTTGGAGCAGCTGTTGCGACACGGAGACCCGGATAACGAAGATTTATTAAACATCATAAAAGATGCCACTACTGAAACCGACGTCCATTTCATCGTTGTAGATGCCCTCGATGAATGTGCCGTTAGTGAACAAAAGGCATTGTTGGGAAGTCTCAAGCACATACTTTCACAGACTAACAGACGGTGGAAGCTTTTGCTTTCAAGTCGCGACGGCATGGATGGGCGGATTAAGCAAACGTGCGACATAGTCCATTCTGTGACTACAAACTCTCCATCATTGAATTCAGACCTGAAGACAACAGTGGAAGGCAGGCTCAATGAAGCAATCGACAAAAATGATTTGGTTCTCGGAGACCAGAGTATTCTTGAAGAGATTAGAGATACACTCATTGGAGGTGCAGGTGGCATGTTAGTATGTCTCCTCTTACCATACCCACTCTGGCTGATAACAGTAAAAGGCTCCTCTGGGTTGACTTCCAATTGCAAGAAATTATACGCCAGTCTTCGGATTACGATATTCGCACCGTCCTTCGAGACTTGCCTAAAGGTCTCCATCAAACCTATGAGCGACTATTGGGGCGTGTCGTTGAGAGCGGTAAAGAAGCAAAGGTGAAGAACATTTTCCTCTGGATAACGTGCGCAAAACGGCCATTATCCCTAGAGGAGCTCCGTGAAGCCATTGCCATCGAGCCAGGTCAGACACACTCTATGTCTGATCGACTTGTGAACGACCTCACGCAACTCCCTGGGTGGTGCTTTGGGTTGGTTACATGCGACGAGGAGGACGGTACACTTCAATTCGCCCACAGCACAGTGCGGAGTTTCCTTGTAGGCGAGTCTCAGAACTTCAAATGGCCCAATTTCCATTTCAAATTGGAAGATGCAGATAAGAGACTGGGCCAGATATGCGTTACGTTCCTCAACTTCAGCGATTTCGAAACACAGCTGATCAAGACGCCGAAGATTCAGCACATGGCCGAGCCTCAAAACATTGCGATTCAAACTATTAAAAGCAACTCGTCAAGCACGCTCTTCAAACAATCAATGGCAGCAGTGGAGCGGATAAAAGAGATACGTTGGCCACGGAAAATTCGAACAGCCAACGGATTTCCTTGGTCAGCCCAAATCGAAGATCAGCCAGCTTGGGAGCAACAGTTTGCTCTGCTTAATTATGCATCCGAATTTTGGATTTTCCATTGCATATGTCTCAGTAAGGATGATACTCAGACCTGGAACATGTGGAAGCGTTTACTCTCCACAGAAAAGGCATTCGTCCAAAAACCATGGCCACGAGATGATTTTCACAAAGGAAATGTCTCAGTTGTTAACATCATCCGAACACATGAACATGAGGCCCTCTGGCAACTCTTGGAAGACAAGGAGTTTCACCCCAATGAAGAAGCAATTGTTACATTGATGAAGCATTATGTTGAGTGCGGATGTCTAGAAAAAGTCGGAAAGTTGCTTGAGCTCTGGCAATTTTCGGTAGTAGTACTGTCACAAGCACTGAAGTGTGCAGTTAATGATGACCACGAAGAAATCGTCGAGATGTTGCTTTCTGCAGAAGCAGACGTCAACCTAGCAACCGAAAAAGAAGTTGGGGGTGCGACACTACTCCATATCGCGGCCGGAAATGGGAATGTCTCAATTGTTAGAATGCTTATAGCCGCGAAGGCTGAAGTCAACATCACTGACAACCTGTGGCACACACCCCTTTTCTTGGCTTGCCGCAATGGTCATCTTGAGGTTGTTAAGGTGTTGCTTGACGCATCTGCCTCCGCCAATGCTTTTTCACACGGACAACCAACAGCACTTGAGGCAGCAGCAGAGTTCAACCATCTCAAGGTGCTAGAAGTTATACTTTCCACAGGAGGTGGCGCCGAAAGAACAATAGAATTCGGCTCGGCTCTCCAGCTTGCAGCTCGGAATGGAAATCTCGAGATCCTCAACAAACTACTTGCTGCAGGTGCTGATATAAATCAAATTTCAGACAAGAAATTTACCAGAATCACACCTCAAGTCGCAGTGGGGAAGAGTCAACCGGATACTGTCGATGAGCTCTTCGCTATAGGGAGGGACGTGAATCAAAAAGGGTGGAACATACGTGGCAGGACTGCACTCCAAGCTGCGGCTGAGGCTGGGCATATAAAGGCGGTTAAGAGCCTACTTTTGTCGGGGGCTGAAGTCAACGTAGCACCAAAAGAAGAAGGGGAACAAGAAGAAACAAAGAGCCCTACAGCACTACAGTTTGCAATTGCTAATGGCCATACCGACATTGTCCGTACCTTAACGGAACCAAGAGCAAGGGAGATTTTGGGATCAAAGTCAACGGAAGGATTAAGATCACAAGCAAGGAGAGAAGGGGCAAGGTATGGGTCTATGCAACGAGCGTTGTCGGCACCGCGGAGTAGTATTAGAAGTCTAGGTGTTACCTAAAAGACTTTAAACTGCATATGGACGTAAAACGAATCAATTAATCAACCGCACCGTCATTCACCACCCAACCCGCTTACAAAGAAACGCGCACCGCGCTAGCGCCGGGCCCGTGCGCCCCACCCACCACATATAAAGTCTCCTCCTCCCCCCACCTTCTCCTCCACCACCGGACCATCCCCCTCCCACCGCCACCGCAACGCACGCACGCACGCCGCTGTCCCCACACGGCCCATTCCCATGTACGCTGCGGCCGAGGACGGGGTCCCAGAGAAACTACCACGAGGGATTTCTGACTCGGCGCCTTGGCTGCACTTGGCTTGACTGGTTGGTCTGGCTCGGCTTTTTTTCTCGTTTCTTTTTGAGAGTTTCTTTTTGAGAGAAGAGGATAAGCTGGGCTGGGCTGACGGTGGGCCTGATTTGGTGGGCTGCTGTTTGGTGTGGGCGTGGAGTTCGTTTGTCGCTCGACATGTTTGTGCGTGTTTGTGTGTGTGTGGTCATGTCCGGGAGGCCACGAATGCCCTAGGAAGTTGGAAAGCCTTTTGCAGGCACCCTGCCTGGATAGTTCTATAAGGGACTTTTGACTAAGTGACAGCTTCCACATAATGCGGCTCCAACTGTCACTGTCCTTCAGGTGTGAGAGTACGGGTACGCGAACACACCATCCACGCAACGCAACATTCTACGGCTCCGCGCACAAGCCATCAACGCACGCTACTCCCATCTCGGCAGCTACGGCCGGCGACAGCGACAGTTTACGTCGAACCTCCGAGCATGCCGCAAATGGTGTCCAAGATAGCATAATTAGATTGTCCCAATAGCCCGTACGGTAGAAATTTGTGACGATGTATGTATGATACTGCGGTTTCGTAGGTTTGGCTGGGTCATAGGGATTGCTTGCAGGCAGTGACATGGTTCGCACCGTTTTTCACTTATGGACTGTTGCTGGCATATTAGCGCATTCCAAATTATTAAACCAGACAGCTGTAGTAAATCCAACAAGTTCACCCTATTTCGCATAAGTAGGAAGTGCAAACATAGTTGGCGAGTATGAGGTGCTGCGTGGCACCGGCCAAAGGATCCGCCGTGCAGCTACCTGGAGCGCGATCGCCGAATCCGGCCGCGTTGCTCCGCGGAGGCTCCGCCCCCACGCCCGTGATTGGAGCGTTGCAGCACTGTACAACACGAGCCCCCCTTACAAGAAGGATTTAGGGCACTTTCACGGCAGGCCGTGCCGCAGCCTCTTCCGTTGTCTTGCATTCTCCCTTCCTACCACGACACACTGTCACTGAACAAGACAATGCAGACACTGAAAAGGTGCCGTCCGAGGACCAAAAAGCGTGCTTACATGGACACGCAACGGACCGGACCGCTCTCGTAAGCTCTTAGGCGTGTTCTCCACTGCGTGGCTGGCTCCTCCGCGATCACAGGAGGATCCTCGCCAAGGACAGGAACGGCCCCACGGGCGAGCTTTCCGCTCGTCTTTGCCCCGGCCCCCATAGGCACTAACTACCTCTATGCGCGAAACGCCAACAACTCACCCTGAGCTCATAACCGCATTCCTACTATCCGGGGAGATATCGCTCTGATCCGACATCCGCGAAAGATGGCTGCACCCACAACGTCTCCATATAGCACTGGACCCCAAATTAGGGTCCAGAAGCCCAATCCTCCTCGCACATAAAGAAGCACTCGCAGAAGCAGACAGAGACGGAACTCAGCACCAACATACATTGTCCACAGCGACAACACATCTGCACCCCTCAAGCACACGGCAACACCAAACCAGCACAATGCGAGGACCGCTTACGCAACTGCTCCTCCTCGGCAGCGCGCTCTTCGCCACCACCGCCCTCGCGCAACACCCCACGGGCAGCAGCCTGCGCGACCAAGTGCACCAGGACGACGAGTTCAAGTGCCTGCTCTGGAAGCCGGAGCGCGCGGGCGACGCCGAAGACGCGAAACAGCAGTGCCGCAATGCGTGCGGCACGAAGATCGCGTCTGAGATCAGCAAGGGCGGGGCGAGCCGCGCGGTTAGCTGCATTGGCTTTAATGTTAAGTTTGAGAAGCAGCCGGGCTGTACGTTTCCCCTTGCCTCCGCCCCAGCGCAATGTCGTGATGGTGGCTGATTGACTGACTGGTTGTTGGCGGCGTGTAGTCGACAGATTGGCTGGAACGGGCAACTGCACGTGCCAGAACTCGTTCATTGAATGGGCGGGCGAGAACGTCATCAAGGCCCTGCCGGCCGTTGCGGAGGTAAGACCAAGCCGTCCGCAACTGCAAACAAAACAAAACGAAAGACTAACGTTCCTCAGATCGGCTGCGAGCTGCTCACCACCTCGGCCACCGCGATCCTCGACATCGGCTCGCTATTCATCCCCGGCGCGGGCGAAGCCGTCGACGGCGGCAAGAGTGCGTTTTCCCCTCCCCCCAGTCCCACACCTCCTTCAGCCCCGCCTTCTACAAACAAACAACCAACACTAACGCCCCCTCCCCGCTGCCACAGTCGCCATCACCGAAGTCGCCAAATCCCTCAAATACGCCTACGGCAACACAGACAAAGCCTTCAACGCATTCAACGACTGGATGAACCCGTGCGGCGACACGTCTGCCGTGCCGGCCGATATGCAAAAGGTGTTTGACATTGTCAATAACTGGCCCGACAAGATTCTGCCCGAGGGGTTCAAGCCGAACGGGAAGTGGAAGAAGGGCGGTGGGAAGCGGGACGTGTTGGAGGCGGCAGAGCCGGGCCCGGAGACGGAGGAGGTGGAGGAGGGGGTGGGCAAGCAGGAGGTGACTGGGGAGCAGGAGGAGGCAGAGAAGGCAAAGCGCAACGACTTCACGGACGCGATGGGCCTCGTCAACGAGAAAGAGGACGATGTCTTGCACGACTGGTTCAAGCGCGACGTCAAGGACTCGTTTGCGGCGATTGGCAAGGCTGAAGATAAGGTCTGGGACAAGATCTTCCATAGGCGCGACGAGGCCGATCCCTCGGAAGTTATTAACAAGGCGGATGAGGTTGCTTGGGACAAGCTCTTCGGTAAGCGGGATGGCAGGCCGATCTGGGACGACTTTGGCGACGGCATGGAGACGAATGTCGAGCATCTGAAGGAGGATTTCAAGGGGAAGTGGTTTAAGGCTTGAGTCATGTTTTGGAATAGTCCTGGATAGTTGTTTTGCTCTTTATATAAAGCGCGTTGCGCATTGTTTTTCTCTATTACGGAGTGTAATCTCTACCCTTTCCTCCTAAACAATCAACAAACAACACCCTCACCCCCCTTCTCACCCACCCTCCTCAACCGCACCCTAGCAACCCTTTCCCCATCGACCGCCCTCTCATAAACCACCCTACAGCCCTCCGTCCACCTCGCAACACCCTCATTCGACCCCGCCGCCACACAGCCCACCTCAGCCCCGCCTCCCCTCTCCCCTCCCAACCCCGCCACCGCATCCACAACCACCCGCCCCACATCCCTCACGCGCCACCCGCCCACCGCCTCGCTCCCGCGCGCCACCCACGCCATCCCCCCCACCACCAGCGCCGCCAGCACCAGGCTCGCGAGCCCCACGGCCAGGACGACGGGCACGTACGTCATGCGGTAGAACTGCCGCGTCACGACCGCCTGCACGGTATACACGTACTCGGGCTTTTCGCGCGTGGCGTTGCTCGCCGCAACCTCGATCGCAATCGTCCGTGCTTCGGCAGACGCATACAAGAAATTGCGCGCCAGCGCCGCGAAGTCCGTGCTGTTCTGCCCCGCGCTGCACAGCGTGCTGTCGGCGCTGGAGGCGGTGGCCGGGCACGCGGTGCGCGCGAGCGCGGGGCCGATGCCCGGGATTGCGGCGGTGGGGGCGTGGTAGTTGAGGTTGGCCTGCCAGGTAGCGAGGGCGGAGGGGATTTTCATCTTCTCGGTTTCGGGGGCAAAGGTTGCTGCGGCGATGGTGACGTCGGAGTTGTGGGCGCGGGTGAGGTTCAGCTGCCCGCTTTGCTGGTACAGGCTGCATTGGAGACCCCAGACGGACATGGTCGCTTTGGTGCCCGTGAATCCCGACGACGTCATGTTTGCGACTGTGGGATTGAGCGTGCCGTACGGCGTTGCGATCGTGTAGTTGGAGTAGTCGAAGGAGGTGAGGTAGCCGAGGAAGGCGTTGGTCGTGTTGAAGTCGAAGGCCACGAAGGAGTAGACATCGTTCGAGGCGCCCTTGAGCACAGATGACGGGCCCGGAATCTGCGCCCGGAAGAGCGTCGTGTCAGCGATGCCGTTGATGGACGTGTCGTACGCGCCCATGGCTAGGACGGCGAGATTCGACAGCTGCGCCGGCGCGCACTCGACGCTGACCCGGAAGCCTGGCACGTTTACTAGGCCGACCACAGACGCTGGCAGCGCGTCCAGCGCCGCGGCCGTCGTGTTCACGCCCACATACGACCCATCGCTCTCGAGCATCTTGGTCGCGTTCTGGAAGTTCAGCCCCGTCAGCATCCCGCTCATCTGGTTCGCGACGCTGGCCTGCTGCTCCGTGTTGAAGCCGAAGACATCCATTTGCAGGCTCGTCGGGATGACGACGCTAGACTCGATGACCGCGTCGCGCATGTAGCGCAGCTGGTACGGGTGCGGCGAGGCGACGTTCTCGAAGAATGCTTCGTACGCGACCAGGTTCGCGAGGGCGGAGCGGCCGAGCGCCGAGAAGAGGCAGAGCAGGACGAGCGAGACGAGCCGCATTGTGCGTCCGCGGAGGAGGGTCCACAGGTGCAGCAGGTCATAGGTGCCGCTGCTTGATTGGCTGGCTGCCACTAGAGAGGACAGCGGGATGCCGCGACGGAAGGAATCTGCATTGCTAGCAGGGGGGTATTTGCGAGTGTCTTCTCCCTCCTCTTTAACAACTGCAACCCTGGCAACAGCAAACCACACCAGATTCAAGCCCGCCATGACCAGCGGCGCAAGCACAGCACCAGAGACGACATCGAGTGCCTTCGCCTGCGCCTGGGTAAGATGGCCGCCAATCTCCTCGCCATGGAACGTCTTGAAGCGGGCATGGATGCCCGAAGTTGCCAGCCATGCTGCTAGTGCTACGATGGGGATGACGAGCGTGAGGAGGACAAGGATTATGTGCAGCGTGTATTTGTAGGACTGTTTTGTGGGGTTTGACTGCGACGGTTAGTGCTGGTGGTTTGGAGAGATGGGAGAAGCTTACTGTATGTGTGATTAGTGGTGGAGGACTGGATTCCCGCTCGTTGAGCAGGTACGTTGACTGATCTTTGGCCTCTTGAACGCCTCTGTCCGTTTCCGCTGCGTGTGCCTCCATTCTTAGACGCTTTGTCGATGCGAAACAAAGAAACAAATTACAAAGTCCCAAAACACACTACAGCTCTTCCAAACAAACCAAAGCGTACGGTCTTGTCCTAAAATCAAATAAACTTCACCTCCAACCCAGGAGCCCAGCAGACTTTAAACCCCCAAGGCCATCCTACTGTCCTCATCCCATCCAACGCCACAAAAGGCAGAAAAACGAACGCCTAACTCATCCCGCCAGCAGAACTACGCGAAAGGATCAACATACCCCACGCTAAACCCCAACGCCTATAGCGAAGCCAGCTAAGCCCGCAGCCAGTGTATTTTTGGCGAGGCGGCGCCATCCGTCTAGACCGTTTGAGGCTGAGTCGGGAGGCGCATTCACTAGCGCCTTTCGCGCCGTTGCGGCCTGATCCGCAGCAGCGCGGCGTAGCGCCGTGGCTGGGAATGATTGGACGATGTAAGCTTCCTTCGATCTGCCGCTAATTGTGACACCTGATGCGTAGCGGCGCAATCCTTTGTTGCTAACGGTGTGCCTGATGCACGATGCCGTTAGCTGGATACCCCGGACGGAAATACGCGCGTCGTGCCATACTCACACTTATCTCAGCGCGTCTCCCACCCTCCGCAACCTCACCACAACATCCCCATCTTCGTCCACTTTCTCGTACGCGACGCGATACCCCTCCACCCACTTTGCGATCTCCTCGTTCGGCGCGGGCGCAAGCCTCGCAAACGCATCGCTGTCGCCTGCGTCGCTCTTCCCCGCACCCAGCCCCGCCACGCAGTCAACAACCAGCCTCGTAGCGTCGACCTGCCTGAACGTTTTCGCGCTCAGCGATCCCGTCGCGCCGAGCATCAACCCAGCAGTCACGAGCGCCGCGAGGAGCAGGGACAGCAGGCCGAGCAACAAGACGACCGGCACGTACGTGATGCGGTAGTAGAGCGTAGCGACGGTGGCGGGGACGTCGTAGAAGAACTCCGGGCGGCTGCGCGAGGCGTTCGAGGCTGCGACTTCGTGCATGATGCGCTGTGCCTCCGCGGACGCGTAGAGGTAGTTCTGGGCGAACGTTTCGAAGCTGAGCCGATCCACCGGAGATCCGTTGTTCGACGCGTTGAGCGCCGAGCGCGCGAGTGGTGGCCCTAGGCCCGCGATCGCGGACAGCGGGGCATGGTAGTTTAGGTTGACTTGCCACGAAGCGAGGAGGGAGGGGACGTGTTGTTTCTCGTCGCTGAAGGCCGTGCTGGTGATAAAGGGGCGGCTGTTGGGCGAGCGCGTGATGTTTAGATGGCCGGATTGGCGGTTGAGTGAACACCGGATGCCCCAGGCGGACATGATTCCTTTCGTCCCGCTAAAGCCTTGGTGCGTCATATTGAAGGCCGTTGGACGGATGGGGCCGAATGCCGAGGAAATGGTGTCGTTTGTATGATTAAAGCTCGTCAAACTCCCCAGAAACACATGGCTGCTGTTCAATGTGAATGCGGTGATGTCATAAACCTCGTTGTATGCGCTCTTGAGTTCTTCGCCCTGCCCAGGGACCCAGGCTTGCAGAAGGTCGCCTGTTACCGCGTCAGTACCGCCGATTATCGCCATGTAACCACCCATTTTCGTAACGCCAAAGTTCTCCATTTGTGCCGGCTCGCATTCGGCTGTTAATCGATATCCCGGCACGTCTAGCAGGCCGACTACGGATGTCGGAAGCGAGTCAATCGCTTTGAGTGTGGAGTTGATGCCAATGTAGGCGCTGTCATTAAGCTTGGACGTGGCGTTTTCGAAGACCAGTCCGGTGAGAAGCCCGCTGAGTTGGTTTGCCATATCGGATTGCTGCTTTTGATTTAAATCAAACACGTCCATGTCAGTGGTCGACACCATATGCGGAGACTCGATTTCGAGGTCCCGAAGGTATCGCAGCATGTACATTTCATCCGACAAAGTGTCCTTGGAATAAGCCTCGTAAGCAATTACGTTGGACAAGGATGATTTACCCAATGCCGACAGCAAAATGAGGGAGATGAGCAAGCCCAACCTCCATGACCTGCCTTGCAGCAAAGCCCAGAAATGGAAAATGTCGTACGTTCCGCCTGTGGATGTACTGGCTGCAACCAAAGCAGACAGTGGGACTCCGCGGTGATTCTGGGGGTGCCGCTCGTTGACAACTGAGACGCGAGCGCTTCCAAACCAGAAGTAGTTGAAGGCCGCCATGATCATAGGCGCGAATATTGCTCCGCAGACTGCATCCAATGCTTTGGCTTGTGCTTGAGTGAGGCGACCTCCAATCTTTTCTCCTCCAAAGCTTCTGAAATCAACTTGTGCCCCACGTAATGCCAGCCAAACAATCAAGCCAATGAGCGGAAGAGCGGCTGTGGTGGCTATGATGCTGTTGTACGCGAACCAGGTCCATTGTTTTGTGGCTGATGGCACATTGTGTCCAGAAAGCGGACCCGTGCTGTCGCTCTTGTTTGACTGCACTGAAAAGGTAGGTTTTGAGCCGTTCCTTTCTTCGAGTAGATGTGTCGATGGCGGAATATTTTCGTTTGCGATTGGATCCATCGGAGAATAAAGCGCGATGTGCTGTAGAGATGGTTTGAACAACTAAAGCAGCGGGGAGATGATGCAGGGACGAAAAACGCGATGCAGATTGTCCGAGCGACGGCATGTATTTGAGCGTCAGAGAGAATAGCATGGATTACCGTGGGGTCCAATTGCCTAGCTGGATGGAAAGTAAGCTCACTTTTGCCTGGGAGTGGTAAATGTCAGCACTAGCCGCAATCCGACAACAACGTCAGCAAGGCCAGGTACCCGGCGGCTGTAACGTTGTACAAAGCAGTGAAATTGCGCGAGCAGACGTGGCGGACAGGGCAGTGACGCAGACGTGAGACAACGGCATTGTAGTAGCGAAGTGTGAGATGAAGAAGAAGAAGAAGAGAAAAATAAGGCGACTGCAAGCAAATCAGGTATGTGCCTAGGTAGGCAGCTTCCGAAACCCCGCTCGCGCATCCAATTGCATCACATGACCGCCCCTCGCCCGCACTCATAGGTAGATAGGTGAGGATTCATGCACGGCTCCATCCACGTGCTAAAGGAAGCCTTCTTAGTTACAGAAAGACGAAGAGCCGCCCCCAAACCACCTTCACCACCCTACCACGGATACGTCCCACCCTCATGCAAGAACATTCCCGCCTCCTTATCCCTCTTCCCCTCCAGCACATCGACCAAGGGCAGTACACTCTCCTGCGTAGCCCTCGCCCCCGCCTCCGCCGTATTCTGCGGACTAATCTCACTGACCGTAAAGCCAGGGCAAAACGCGAAGACCTTGGCGCCCACATCCGCAAACGCCCACGCCTGGCACACCGTCACCATGTTCAGCGCCGCCTTACTGGCCCGGTACTGCAGCAAGTCCGCGTCGTGGATGAAGGCGGTTTTGTCCAGCCGGCTCGCGATGCTGCCCGCGCCAGAGCTGACGTTGACGATCCGGGGCGTGGTGCCGCGCGCTGCGGCAGCGCGGAGGAGCGGCGCGAACGCCTCGCCGACTACGGCTGGCCCGGTCGCGTTCGTGTCGAAGGCTAAGCGCATCTGAGCGCGCAGCGGGGGCGTCGCGGCCGTGATGCCGGCGTTGTTGACGAGGATGTCGAGGCGGCCGTAGTCTTGCGCGATTTTGTCGGCGGCGGCGGTGATGGTCACGTCCGAGGTCACGTCGAGCGTGAGGGAGGTGATGTTGCTGCTGTGGGTTGGGTGCTGGGCACGCAGGGCTGCGACGGCGGCGGCGCCTTTGGAGGGACTGCGCGCGCAGAGGAGGATGTGGTAGGTGCCTTTTGCGAGGAGCTGGGAGGCTAGCTCGTACCCGATGCCGGAGTTGGCTGGGGGAGGTGTTAGTCCATAGGTAGATATGGGGTCAGTTGGGGGCGGTGGGAGGAGTGACATACCGCCGGTGATGAGGACGATGGTCTTGGAGTCTGTCGATGCTGCCATTGCTGGCGGTGCTGATGCTGTGGATGCGAATTGAGTCTGGTCAAGTGGATGTCGTGACCGACTTATAGTATCGCATGCCGTCCGTCAGGTCAATATTGATGAGCAGCGTCATGACGGAAATAGCGCAGATAAGCGGAGTTTGTCCTCGACAGGCGGACTTGCCAGTGGCACAAGGGGGGTTGGTCAGCGCTTCTGCCTGGCCTCGGTGGTCGTCAGACTGTGCAGTATGTGCGTGCTCATAGCTTTGAGAAGAAACATGTAGAGCTGGATTGTTTGGTCAGCTGTACGGCATGTGATGGGCGGGCCCGGGTTGGTCAGCGCTTGTGCCTGGTTGTCGTCAGACTATGCAGTATATACGTGCTCATGGTTTGCAGAAGAAACATGTAGAGCTAGGACGCTTGGTCAGCTGTGCCGGATAGCTGCGGAGGAGGGGAAGTGAGTGTGTCGTCGAGATAGAGTTTGAAGACTGAGACGGGACGGGACGGGAGTGGGCGTAAGCGCGGATCAGGGATCTGGCTGATCTGGCGGGAATCAGTGACACCTTGCACGTGAAATTTGAGCTTTGAAACTTTAGATCGTCTTGGGTTAGGTATTCGTGTTCTATGGAACTTGGAAGTAGACATACTGAGCCAAGAGCTCATCTTTCTTCAACCATCTACAAACCACAAGACCACGCGCTGGCGCAACATCATCCAAAGCAACCAAAGCATTCGTAAAAGCAACCCCACATCTGAAGACAGGCCGAGCTCAAGCCGCTTATCCGCCTGCCAACCGCCAACCGTGTCCAAAGCCCATTTCCAAGCCTCAAGTCGCCACCAACACCGACCTCGTGCCGCCTACTCACTCGCTGGCCAGAGTCTCCATCACAGCCCAACGGGCCAAGTCGCGCGGGACCATGGTATCATCGGGACTTTCAGGGTTGTTAGCGTTTCTATCTTGCATATCGCGTCCCAGGAACGCCCTAGCGAGCGCCCTTAGAGCCGTCGGGTCTTCGGTCCTGGGCCTCTCAAGCACATAACCGGTAGCCGGGGAGTCAGTATAGACCAGAGGCGAAAGCGAAGAAGTCGTCGAAGACAGAGCGGCAGTAGTGAACATGAGAGCAACTGCCGCGAGGTTCGGGAAGCGCTGGGCAGCGATCTGGCGAGCCACGAGCACGCTGATGCGGTCCATGTTCTCGAGAGTCTCTGGCCCTCTTGTCGGGCTTCGCGTCCAGCGAAAGAACATCCAACAAGGCTGTGTCCACTACGTTGTGGTGCATCATGCGCAACGCCTTCAGGTCTTTCTGCACGGCATGGCCGACGATGACAGTCGTGAGCCCTACGAACTTCCACACGGTTTCGCGCGCGCCGTCCCGTCCAAAGAAACACATCTGCTGGTCCCTTGCCGTGTCCAAGTCCTTCCGCGTCACACCAGAATGCTTCGTGTCCAGGTGCAGCATCGGCACGGTGGGGAACACGAACTTGTCGATGAGAACAGTCGAGGTGAAGTGGTCGATTAGAGTAAGGCAGACGAGCTCGGGCTCGCCTGCCATGCTCACACCTGTCTTGCAGTCGAGTACGACGGCCGCGCGTACCATGCTCGAGAAGAGCGGAGAAGGCGTCGCCCAGTGTTGCCACTGCATGTCCAGCTGGTTGCGCGGGAACCACTCTGCAATGTGCTGTTCGGCGCCGGTGCAAGGCGCCGCGTTAGCTGGCCCATGGCAACACGTCCAGAACTTTCTGGGCGGGATCCCGTCGCCAATAGCTATCGTTTCTTTGACTTTGCCTGGGTGAAACTTGCAACGGTCGACTGACTTAGAAGATTTCGACGCAGGGAACGAAATCGTGCCCTTGACTTCTCCAGAGAGCGGGTGCTGCAGTATGTATACACTGTAGGGGAAGTCGTCGCATTGTCAGTGCAGACCAATGCTGGGATAGACGATACTTACGCTTGCCACAGCCCGTACAGCGCTGCTTGAGCTCGAGCTCAACGGTAGTCAGCTCATCCAGGATGTACCCGTTCTGCTTGAGTCTGTTGAAGGGAATCGCAAGAGCTCGCAGTCCCTTGAGATGTTCAATGTCCTCGGAGCTCAAGCCCACAACCATCTGCTCCTCAGTGTTCCGTTCGGTCTCACGCTCCGGAGTGATATAAGGAGACTGCGAGTCGTGTTCTTCGGCCGGAGCAACAAGAAGATCACTCTGCTTGGGTTGGTGAGCGAGAGGGCCGGTCGTCAACTGCTGGGTGACGTTAGGGGCAAAAGCGAAATCTCCTTGAGCAGTAGTAGCGAAAGGCTCACTCGGTCTGAATCTAAGAGCGAGAGTCTGGGTTGTGAACTCCGGCTGCGGCAACGGTGCAGCAGGGCTGGTGTCGCGTCTGGTCGACCATCCAATGCGCAGCGGTAGCGACTGGGCCTGATCCTCGTGGCGCCGGATGCCGGAGCTCTTCGCGCGCCTGTTCCTCTTCTGCTTCGTCATGGTTCAAGCTGAGGTACAAAGCGGGATGACAATGGAGTGACAAGCAGGGGGCGAGCAGAGTGTCGAGTTCGCGACGAATGGAAGAGTGACGGGGAAAAGGTTTGTGGGAGAAGGGCGTTGTGGGGGAAACGGACCGGTCGGTAAAAGGGTAAGAGCTGCTGCGCCCTGGGCACTACCCTTTGCCTTCCGCCTGCCGGATTAGGTAAAGCGCTGCCTCATTACCGGTAGGGACGGTAGAATGCTGCCTTGACGCGTGCAACGCATGCTCATGAAGTATTATCGAACACACAACAACCTCGGCCAACGTTCTCTGCCCTTAAACGCTTCATTCTAGCTCCTCTTACCACCTGTTGGCGCTCGCTCCCTCTCCGCGACGTTCGTATTAAGAGGTACCGGGGGCTCAAGTGCTACGCTAGCCGCAGACTTACTATAAGACAAGCTGTAAGTACTATAAGATTAATACAAACCCTTTTATTAATCTCTAGTATAAAATAGGGGGAACCAGTTCAGATTCTCCGCCTTCAGCTTCTCGCGCAACCGCCTGTGAAGGTAGAACGCCTGCAGACACCTTGTGATCGATCGGCAGGAATGGAAGACGTGCTTTGACTACCTGTCCTCGACCCTTATGCATGTGCGCATGACACAGGATGTACGATTACGAGAGTTTCCACCCTGAAGCTCTGTCAGCGTCAAGAGATGCAACGCTCATAACCAGTATCGTCGCACGGTGCCCAAAATTTGTGCATGCATCGAGTGGACGACAACCAGCCGTAGGGGCTCACTACTTGTCACATCAACAAGAGCCAATCGTTCCAATTCTCTCCTGCAGCATTCAGTGTCATGGACATACCGAGGCGGCTCTCCTATGGATTCTTTGATTTCTTCGGCCTTAAACACCACCTTATACAGATGGTTTGCCGCAGCATGCAGCCCACGGTGATATCCATCATCATCACAACCAACTACGCTCTATCGTCCCAGCAAGGTATCCAAACCTTTCACTGTTGCGGCGAGCTCGGAGGTTCGGCGCATGTTGTCTGCCTCACCTGCCGTATCGAAGCGCGGAGACAGCATGTATGCCTTGCCCTAAAACGACATCTTGCGGGAGAGGTATGTGCGCTTCGCCGTAGGATGGCGCATTGCATGGATGGTATGTGCGCTTCACCGTACTGCTGTTGCGCGCAGCTTTGCAAACACTAACTTCTTTTAGGCTCAACGTGCGTTTTTATTCTGGTAAAAAAGTATTATAAGCTTAGCAGCTGATGGTTGATTAGGTGGCGAGGTTGGACACTGGGTTTCCTTTGGAAACATGGCCGGGAAAGGTAGAATGCTCTATGGCTTTCCGAGTGCCCCATCCCATCGCCTGACTTCCAGAGAGCAAGTCATTTTCACATAGAAAAGGCTGACCGGTCACCTTTTTCAGGCTTTAGGGCATAAAGACGTACTAATCGCTAATGTCAACGCTACCAGGCTGAAACCTCGTAGGCAATCAACAACATCCACGACGCATCCGGCGGTTCATAAACCATTCGCAATCAGCTACGTTGCCAGCCTCAGCCACCAGGCCGTAAAGCCATCAGGCTGTAAAGACTACTGCACCCGGGCTGCTAGGGTTTTGTCCACCAGCCAAGCTGGCGTCCCTCCATGTCAGCTGCCAAGCGCATGGCTGGCCAATCCGAATGTGCGACACCAGCGCTCGTATTCTCTGCATCTGTCGCCGGAAGGCTATAAAGGCTCGACAGTTCCCGTGCTCAACTCTCTCTAAACTGGCTCGAATATTATAATACAAATCACTTCTTATTGCCTTCAAGTCTTTCGATCACCGGAAACCTACGGTGTACACAGAGTTACTTTTTCAAAGCTATCAACCATGGCTTTCGGACTCTCATCCTGTGTTTGTGAATCCAGAAGGGGGTACAATTGAGCGGAAAGTTTTTATTATTTGGATCGTAGTAGGCTATGGGTACGTACACTTTTTTGCTGCGTTTGCCTGTACTGACATACTTCTTAGAGCGCCGCAGTTCTACTTCGTCATTTAGTAGATAAAGGATAAGGGATGAGGCATGATATTCGGGGATAACCTCAACTTCGATTTAGAAGAAACAATGTCATTGTCTTCTAGATTCTGAGTAAACTGTTACAAGTGCTCCCTCTCGACAACAATGAAAATAGTGTCAAACCAACTCCACAAAGCACCATCTACCCCTCACTCCTCACTCTGCGAGTATCCTTGAGCATCCAAAGCCACATCTCCAACTTCGCCTCCCCCATCCCCAGCGGGACATACTGAAGCGGTAGCCTCCACCGCACCGCCGTGCCAAACAACGGATGGCGTGACGGCCTTTCCACCAGCCCCCTCAACCTCACCACCTCCGCACTATCCTCTCCCTCACAAACCACCCTCCCCGCATACGCCCGTTCCGCAAACACCCGCGCGCGCCCCACATCCCCGTGCGCAACCGCAATCTGGAACGCATCTTCATAAGCCCTCGGCACGCGCGCGTCCGCAATGCCCTCCGCTTGCAACAAGAGCAGAATCGTATGGACGTGCTCTAGACCCCTAAACAGCGTCGCTCCTGGCCGCGCGTCGTCGGCGACGAGCTCGTCCAGCTCCGCGATCTCGTCCTGCCGTTCGTCGCTGTCCTGGCGCTCTGGCAGTGACAGCGAGCACGTCGCGCAGGCGCACGCGAAGCCGAAGGCTTCGTGTAGTTTTTGCTGGCGCGCCGAGCGGGGGCCTGCCCCATCGAGGTAGGAGATGGTGATTTCGTCGCCTTCCGCGACGTCTTTGACCACGTGCACCGTCAGCTTGTCCAGCGTGGCGTTCCATGTGTTTTGCGCGTTTGGGGCGCACGCGTGGTTGAGCCGTGCGGCGGTCAGGAAGAGCCCGCTTTCCTGTGCGTTGGGCCCGAGGGGCAGGGCGTTCGTCTTCGTGATGCCGATGATGGGCTTGTGCGCACGCGTGTACGCGTTGTGTAGCGCGAAGAAGGCGCGCTGTTCGTCTTTGGTGAGGCGGCGCAGGCTTTGCGCGATGCTGGTTTCGATGAGCGACGTGTTGGTTGCGAAGCGTGGGAGCTTGAATGTTGCAGCTTCCGCGAGGATGCGCGTGCCTTTGGGGATGTTGGTGCGAGAGATGACGCCTTGGCCTTTTCCGGCGATGGGTTGGATCGTGTACAGATTGCTATTGTTGGTTGTTGAAGGGGTTGTAGATGCCTCTGTATTAATTTGCTGGTCCATGACGACAAAGCGTAGCTATGTATCTAGTTGTGAAGGACCTGTCTAAGTTCAGTGAGTTCTCTGCGCCAAAAAGACGTGATATTGGGGTGAAGTTGCCATTTTAAATCGTCCAGCACGCACCAAAGTCACTGCCAAACCGTTTGACATGATTGTCGTCTGCTGTGCTCTTGTGTCATGTGCATCCTGTAACGCGGATGCTGTGTAATGGAGCTAGCGAGTTGTAGGCAAATGGATGTTGACCAGTTGGAAGCTGTTGTTGTTGTTGTTCCTGTGGGTGGTGCGAACGATAGTTTATTGTTACTGTTTCTATTCCTTCACGAAGAGACAGGGCAGTGGACATAAAAGTGTTGACGGACGGACACAAGCACGTGTGCCTGTAACGATGGCCAAGTTTGATGTGATGCAGGTAAACGCGCCCACATTACACAGTGCCACACCTCCACTGACAGGGTAAATTTGTACACAAACCAGTAGGAAGCCGATGGTTCCTGTGGAAAAAAACATACGCATCGAGGAACAGCAGGTTCGTTGTTTGTTAGAGCAAAGTGCACGTGAAACAATTCCGTGCTGCATGCCCAGCTGCAGTGCGGAAGAAGCGATGCAAGGCCCTCCAAACATCGCGAACGATGAAGGTTTTATTGGTTGAATTCAACAGTCGCACGATGGTAGAGAGATGCACGTGACGGTTGACGGCAATGTTCCGGCGCATGCGGAGCAGCGGAGCCCTTGCATAATCCACTCAAACGACGTTTCACAGAAGCGGGCAGGCCTCTGATTGGCACAATTGTCGCGGGATCTATTTCCTCGGCAACAGGTGCAATGATTTATCTCAGGACCTCCTGTCACAGGTACGTTTGATGACTTGCATTCACTGCACATCTCTTTGCACTGCGATCCGGACACACCAGCGACACAAATAAGTGATGAGTTAGTCATGCCTGGTTTGTGCTAGTGGAAGTCTCGTTATCATGCCCAGTTTACTAATGCACATGTGCAGAAACGCAATTGTTAGATCTACCCGTCGAGCTAATCGACGAGATATGCAACCACCTAAATTATCCGGGGAGAATTGCGTTACAAATGACATGTCGGTCTCTTCACGCCACCGTATCGAGGATCAGCAAGATCAGATCCCGCAAAACCACTGGCCCGAGAGAATACACGATGGAAGATCTTCTGGAAATCGAAATGTGGCCTTGCTATGACGATGCCGCCTCTCGCCCGCAGAACCTCCAGCAACCTTTCTCGAAACTGGATTTCTATGCTTGCTGCAAGTGCTTGCGGATAAGACCAGCCTTGCACTTTTCCAATGCCATGATGAAAGGGAAGAGAGGGAAGAGATCGCATCCGCAGTGCAGCGTGAAGCATACGCGCTTCTGCATTGATTGCGGTGTTCGACTCTGCATTTACAAGAGCGGCGAGGAGTTTGAGTACGGAGGCATGCCTTTGGCCGGGGGTGGAATAGGTTTCGTGTGCCGTTATTGCACAAGTTTTCAGGGAAGATCGCTGATCGATTTCTCCGAGAGGGCTTGTAGTCGTTGCGGGAAAAAATATCATCACCAATCCTACCGTGACTTGGTGTGGAAGATAGGACAGGGGAGTTATTAGCTTTTGTACTCCGCAGCCATACACTTCACAGAAACCCGGAGACGGCACATCTTGCCCAGTGAAGGATCTCGCCCCCACGTCGATCTCGCGTGTCCTTGCTGAAATAGGTATGAAGCATGACGTGCTCAGAGATCTGGCAACCGTGCACTGGAAATGAGGTTTTCTTAGCTCCGGTTTGAGGGGTAAACTATTTGAAGATTCACATCGTTTTTCCTTTGTCGGATGCAACAATTTATTCAACTCCTTTGCCTCTTCTATTTGCTGTGCACAATCTTTCGTTCGAAAATGAAAGCAACATTTATTCCAGCTTTGCTGAGCCTCGTCGTATGCGCCGAAGCCGCTATATCATGCCTTAAGGTCGGCGCCACGGCGACCGCAACTTGGACCAACAGCGACGGAAAGACGTGCAACTTCACTGGCACTGTCGGAAGCAACTTCGGCAGCAATTCCGCCGGCTCTGGAGAGTAAGCTCTTGAAACGACTCCGTAAACCCCAAACCCTCAAGCTAATAATCCTTCGCGCAACTACAGCTACAGCTGCAACGGCCGTTGTGGCGCTGGATGCTCGGGCGCCGCTCTTGGCAATGCATACACGCAAGACTGCTTCTCACACGACATTTGCTCGTATTTTGAAAATGCCAGCGGTGGAGCAAGGTATGAGCTCCCCACCCAGTCATAGGGGGTCACTGACACAGTATGCAGCGATCCGAACTGTGGCGATGCGTTCAATGCGGCTGTTGATGATACCTTGTTTGGTGCCGCGTCTTGTGGGCAGACGAACCCGTCAAATGCGGTGTCGAAGCCTACGGCCTCGCCGGTGTGCTCGTAGGATTGGGGGATTGAATTTCGTTCCGGCTATTTGGCTATGATCTTACCTGTCGATACATTTTACAACCAGAGTTTACCCATATAATGTATACCGCTTTAACAATCCAATTGCCAATGACGCTAGGAATCTGCGATTTATCAGCCACGTGCTTTAAAATGAGAAGATCACTGAAAAAGATATTGAACGCTATTATCAAGCAATGTCTCGACTCAACTATAATTGCTACACCCTCCAGTATTAATACACTTTATCTCCTAAATCACAGGCCCTTCACTTATAGGCCTTGATACTGTGACCCGACTTTTTCGGATAAACTTCTTCGGACAAAAACAACATCGAACTCGTCTAAACTGGAGGCGCAGCAACGACCTTTTTACTCTTGTGTATAACGTAGAAGGCATCTAATACACGTGTCAGAACATCTTCAAAGAACATGAGTAAACTGTACAGTGAAAAAGTATAAGAACTTACGGATGCAACCAGGCAGGAGAGCGCAACAAGTCAAAAGTAAGTGTCAGCCAGGATCACTCCGATAACACATGTTTCTCAGCCTCATTATTTAGTTGTTACACAACAGCCTTACCCCCTGCACTACTCATTTATCTACTGCAAGGAAGCAATGATCTCAAAGAGAAAACGTGTTCTTTTAGATAGCAGCATATATACCTCCATAGGTAGTAGTAATTTAGGACAAGCGGCGTCCAATTCCTCGCGCCCAGCTTCACAGTAAGTTGAGCCAAAATGTTCCGCCACAACCACATCTCATGACTACTGATAATGGAGGACAGAAGATTGCCAAAAGGTATAAAGAGAAGTTGCCCTATTCGGTTCGCAGCTTGGTTAGCCAGCTGGAAAAGAGGAAGAGCATGTGTAGTTATCTGTAAAGGAGACGCAAGCTTACCATTTTCACTGCGGATTTTCAACAAAATCAGTTGGTATTTAATATTTTGAATGTATTTTCCTGGATTTGGTCACTAAAAGTAAGTATCAGACTCGATCGTCTTTTTGATCTCCACAGTTTCTCAGTGTAGCATACCTCAAAAGTTTTCCGGTTGGAAATGCCTTATGGTAGTTGTGGACTTTGTCGATGAGTGAAGTAGATGTGAGACAAGAAGCTGTTGAGACAAGGCGATGAGTCTTAAAAACCGAGAAATGCATGTCCCTAGTAGGGCTGCGCTTTACATAGATAGCCAGTAGCCAGTGGAATGATAGCCGTACCCACAAAACCCTTCGCACTGCCTCCAATGTTTGCTTGACTACCAAGTATGCCGTTATATCACAGGGGTTTACAAGCTATACGGTACTTGCGTTCGCCTGTCGTCGGGTGTGAACCAATAGCAGAAGAGCATGGAGCACAGACACTTAAAGCTTAGGGTCGAGTGGTGGATCCGGGCGTCACTCCGGAGTAGAAGCAGCTGCTACTTTAGCGAAATCGTACGGACTTAATCGGACTTGAAAGGCCAAAAGGGAACTACTGAGCATAGCCGGGCCCCTAAGCTTATCCGCTCTTCTGTGGCTGAGCGTGTTTCACCATCAATAATTTGCACGCACCGCCACCGCCAGAGAGAGAGGATGGACAAGAAAGCTTTTAAGGCGGATACCCTGCACTGTTCGTAGAGGAAGCAAGTAGAAACCCTTTGCAAGGTGGCGCAGTGATTGGTCCATAAGAGAGCTCGTCACTCTCGCCCTAGAATCTATATGGCTCAACGATTAAAGGATGATGTGGGCCAGCGCTGGGACAAGGGAATCAGTAGGACTGTACTCTAGGTGTATTTCGCAGCTTGAACGAAAATAGGGATGCAGAGGAAATAGGGTCAAGGTTGCACTGCTTCCCTGAGACTTAGAGGTAACAGAGCTAATAAACTGATGTTCTTATTATTCCTACTCTGCGCTTCAGCCAGACTTCTGGTTGTGAGTTGGATTATGGACACCTTGATCCCGCTGTGCCTAGCGTTGGTTCCCTAGCTATTTGTTATGAAACACGTTACGCGAGGTCTAATAGCTAGATATAAAAAAGCCGAAGAGCTACAGTTTTTAAACTGTGAACTAATGATATGGTTGGTCCATATGAGGTGTCAAAGTGCCGGTAACCTACACGAAGGTTTCAGCGGCTCTTAATTGAAAATGATTATTGGCAGCCTAAGTGGGCCTTGGGACAACAAAGATCTTACTACAAAGCGGTGGCGTTTTCTCGGTGGTCTATGCTTGTGCTTTCCCCGGTGGCGCGGGTGTGAACTAATCAAAATGCGCGTGATGCTTATGCAAAATTTCCGAGTCCGAGTTTACTTTGATAAACCACTGCCACACAGTTGTGAACTAGGAGATCTAAGGCTAATAATATTTTTTATAATAGACCGGACAAATGGCGTTCTAACCCTCGTTTTAGAGACGACCAGATTTGTTTATGACGAGAAAAGCTAGTAACGCTGACTCACTGAAAACTTAAGTACTTATTAATTGCGATACACTTTTCGGGGAAACATCTAAGTAATTTAATTTATCTAGTTATTGTCTCGTTTGTGTTAGTTTTCTTCTTCTCTTCCCTTTATGTCATAGATCCTTAAGAATACTAGAAGCAAATTAAAATAGCACTACACCTATTGTGGTTTTGCAAGCGACTTGCGTCCGTAGCAGTGAGTGTAGATGTAAGGAATTGCTAAGCTACAGAAATAAGAGTTGAGGTGGCGCAGCCTTACTCTTATCTTTAAGGTTTCACTATCCTAAAGCCAAACCCTTATAGCGCGATAAACCTGCTTAACTAAATACGGAACAGCTTCTTAAAAGTTATTAGCTCGGTTCAATTCATCTAGAGCCGGGCCCCGTATATCAGGAATAAGGCCTTTGTTACTTTTAGGGACGTGGTTGTCAGACGCGGTTGTAGCGCAGATATATACATTAACATACTTCTCTCTCACGTAGCTATGCTGCCCGATAATATTTATAAGCTCATTATTTAGACCGAAACTCAAACTTATAGCATTAAACGATTAAATAATCCTAGCATAAAAACCAGACGCTTTCTTTATCATAATAAAAAGTGAGCAAATATTTAGAGAAGTTAATCAAAAAGCTGGTACTAATAGACAACCGGGAATAAAACTATCAGCTAGTATTACTCTAATAACGCACAGCTTCAACCCTACGGTTAGTTATTATATAATAAACTGACTCCCTTACACCACACGTTCTTCTACTGCAAGGAATTAAGGATCTCAATAAGAAACGTATTCTTTTAGATAGCAGCATATATACCTCTATAGGTAGTAGTAATCTAGGGGGATAAGCGGCGTCTAATTCCTCGCGCCCAGCTTCATAGTTATAAGCCCGGAATCGTATCCTTTTACGCCTATTCTCTTTAAGATTAATTTTTAATTAAATCTTATCGGTTTACTCGCTTAATAAGCTAGTATAATATTTGTTTTAGACGGCGGAAGGCTGTCTACACTGTTTCGAACATAGCTAAGTCTATAAAGAAATTAGTTCTTCTCAACAAGCCCTCAGACTAGGATAACTAGCTATACCTTATCCGTTCACGTGCGACAGCACTACGTATTTAGGAAGCAGTTAATCTATCTAAGTCTACCAAACCAGATTAACTTTAAGAACCTACGCTGCCATCTTTACCTGCTTCAGGAGAGGCAAATAGCCAGGTATAATTTTAAACCGAATTTACTATCTTTCGCCACCAAACAGCGGTATTCGACAAACGTAAGAAGGCTCTCGTAGATCTTACAACCTACATCTAAGAATCGATCTCAGTCAACAATCTCTCTTTTATTATATTAGTTAAGACCTATCCATAGGACATCCTTAGAGCTCTATAAAAACGCCTAGCGCCTATAGATTAAGCACGGCTTATAGAGCTAGAGTAGCAATACCGTAATCTTTACAAAACCCCGAAGGCTTAATCAATCAACACATAGCTACAGCAATAGGAGAAGCTCTACACCGAAGTAAAGAAGCACCAACTTACTAAAGTATCAGGTAGCAGGCCTACTAGAGACTTTCTAAACGCTCTTAAGCCCATCGAACCTTAGTTTACAACCTTAATACAAGTTAAATTAATTAATAATCCCGCTTCGATAACAGATCTATACGATCTTATCGAGAAGTTTCGCTAGTTCTACAGAATAAATAAATCTTAAAAGTTAACTACTAGTTCTTATTTAGCCTTCTAGGTAAACTTCTAAGGAAAATAGCTTAAGCAGAAACTACTCTACGACTGCGGAAAGCATTACTTTTAGAGTAACTACTACTACTATAATATAACGATCCGTCTAAGAACTTTCAAACCAAATTAGTTAATTCAGGCTACTATTCAAGAAAAGCTTAAAGATCTAAAGCATAAGGAGCGTGTAGACGCTTCAATCGAACGAAAAAGGCGACTCAATCAAATAAAAGAGCCAGATCAATCAACAGAATAAGAGGACCTATTAAAGAAGTAGAACATCGCCTCATTTCCCTCTCACTTCGCTTCATTTCCAACCGTTTAATACTCTCTCCAGGACTTATAGATCCTAGATTCAGGATCAAACACGCATGTCTACAACTATATAATAGCAGATAGATTCCAATAATCCCGCAAGGCCATAAAAGGCGAATCACTCATTTCAGGAACCTACGTATCTCCAATCAGGGCATAGGGAACTATATCCATTTCTATAAAGATAGAAAAAGGCGAAGGCCTTATTACGCTCAATAACGTCGCATTCGTGCCAGAATTTATAACGAATCTCGTCTCTCTAAAGCTTACTATAGCTAAAGGAATCTACTAGGA